ATATATATATATATATATATATATATATATATATATATATCACGAGGCATGTATGCATGCTCCAAATTGTTGTCAGCTTAGGTCATGACCAAGTTGGCAAGACTAGTCATTTAGGCAGATCAGATGGGTTTTGAATTAACCTGGTGCTGCACGGTCATAAACAATGCAAATATGTCAGGCTGCTAATCAACACGGTTTCCCACAAATCATTACCAACATCATCATGTAGAACTCCACTCGAGTGAAAGTGAATAGTGAGGTTCCAAACGACATGTGGTATGAAAGTGAAGGCTTCAGTTATGGGAATAATTGGATTTAGCATTCACCGATGGCGAAGAAGAACGCATAAGATAATAAAAATGGAACTTACGGCAATCAAATCCTTTTGGTATACATTTAGAGGAATGTGCGGAAAGTACAACACACTCGTGTGATGAACTGGACGCCGATAAACAACCGGTGGATCGTCTGCCGGTTTTGTTTCGTCTGGATATAACAGTTCCGATTGTTGCGACATGTGCGTTGTAGTATTCTCAACCCCGCCTAACTGTTCCTTCACATGGGATTGCGTATCTCCGCTAGAACGGGCCAGTTCATCCCGAGTTCTGGAAAGATCTCGGCCGACGACGACACTACTGCCTTCGCTTGTGGAACGCGCGCTGGAACGGCGAACCCCATTTGCGCGCTGTTTGCGCCGCGCCCGTTCTTGAGACGCGGTCTTTGCAGATTGGTCGCCGGCAGCCTTGGGATCAATCTTGTTGGTAGCACCATGTCCGCTATGGCTACTTGCACTACTGGACGAGCGGCTACTGCTCCCGCTGGCGCTACTACTGCGACTTTGGCTTGCACTACTACTACTGCTACCCTCACTGCTGCTGCTGCTTGCACTACTACTCGAACTGGAATCTTCCTCATCACTTGAACTGCTGGAACTTGCACTGTTGCTTGAACTGGCACTGGCACTGCGACTCCGGCTGCGATCACTGCTTCCGACTCGATTATCCTGCGTTTGGTCCGGCTCAGCTTTAGACCGAGCTTTGGCTTCAACGGATTTTTTGCCTGATTTGGACTTTTTTTGTTTGGACCTTGGCTGACGAGTAGATGAAGATTTTCGCGTTTCGGAACGCTATTGATGATAAAACAAGCGGAAAAGAAGAAAACAGGTTAAGATTCTAAATTAATGTGTTTGTCGTAAAAATAATATGGAACATTGACGAAACGGAGCTTCGAAATTTTTCGGCTCCACGATCAGCGCACCAATCACACATCAGCCATCAAATGAAAGGGTTTACAACGCGCAAATACTTCTACCATTCTTCTATGTAGATAAACAGACATTCACAAGGAAAGTCGTGCGTTAATCACGAGGTGAGTTTGGCTGCTTGAGTATGGTTCATCCCATAAGTGCGCCACTAGGGAAAAACTTTGATGAATCACGATGACGGATACCGTTTCGGCAACTCCCAGGAATCACAATTTTTTTATCACACCTTTTTCATGTGATGAACAGCAGGACGGGGAAAGCCCCATAGTCACGAGGACCTGCTGAAACCGGTAACCTAATCCTCTAGACTTGGAGTGGCGAACCATATAAGGCCCCGATAGGTTAGGAATTCAATCTATCTTCGTTCAGATTACCTATCGTATCTTTCTTCCTTTGTGAAGAGTCTTGAAGAGACAAAATTGTGTGCTAGATTAAGAACCATTATTGAAAGCAACCGATCGGAATTTTGGCAAATTGGTAGATTGTAAGAGAATTCGCACTGCTGCATCATCAGGTTCATCACACGCCAGTTAGAAAACACCAATTAGGTGTTCATTTGCGTTTGAATGCTCCTTAAAATCAAAGTTTTTTTCAACAACATTCAGATAGAATTTTAGCGGCTGGTGCCCTGACAGCCCAATAGAGAAAAATGAAACAAACCGACAAAACTGTTGGATAAACTCACGGTGGATTTGCGCTCGGACGACTTCGTCTTCCTCCTTCCACCATCCTCAGATATCTTCGTTTGCCCAGTGTTCACTTCACGTGAATCAGCTTGAAGATTGGACTGGTCGCGCTGAGTAGATGCAATACTATTCGTCACTGTTTTCTTGGTGGTATCGATGTATTTGAACTCGTCTAAGAATCGAACGTCCTCTTCAGTCCCACCGGCTAACTTGACGGCAACTAGATCGAGATGAGTGGGTGGAAATTAGGGGGGGGGGGATGAAGAAATAAACAGTGGTA